CCTATCTAGGCAAAATTTTAGCACTGGTATTTAAGCAAGAGTTGAGAGAATGACATTAAGAGCCAGAACTGGATTTAAAAAGCCTTCTTAAACATCTGCACTAGAGGTTTTGGGTTTTTTTTTTAAAAAAGCATCATTGCTATGAAAAGTAGAAGTCAGACCACGGCTGTGCAGGCAGGGAGAGGCACCATAAAATGGCCAGCGCAGGAGGCCATAGGGATCTGGGAGTGGGCAGGGAAGAAAATCCCTGTGCCCACACCTGGGTGGGAAGGCAGAAGGCCCCTACGCCACTTAGTGTGGGAGCAGAGAGGCCACCTGGTGCAGTCACATGCCTCCCGTGCCACACACTTTGGACATGGGTTGACTGCCGGCAGGCAGCCTCTGTGAGCTGCGGTGTGCTGGTAGGTGTCCAGGTGTCCCGGGCTACTCTCGGAGCCCCCCCGGGGCTGGGATAGCATGGGGCTCCTCACTGAGACCGTAACGACTTGGATGAGACGCTGCCAGAGCAGTACATTAGCAACACCAGGACCCTGCAGGCTTCTTTGCCTGGAGCCTGGGGGAAACAGCCCTGTGCTGCCTGCGACCCTGGGTTTTGCTGGCTGTGTAGCTGTCTTCCAACCTCTTAGGCTGTGGGGCTGCAATCACAGGATCTATGTGAAGGAGTTTATAACAAAGGAGTTGCGGCTTGTCATGTATGTGCTGTGCAAAGGAGACCTATCGTTTCAAGCTGAGCCCAAAGTTGTGTACTTGAAACATCCCACTCTCCCTTGCCATGTGGATGCACCAAGCTGACATTGCACTAAATTAAATTTCATGGTTAAAATTGTACATAGAGAAGATTTTACTTCATCACTCCTCCCAAAATAGCACACTTCAGGAAAAAAAACAGATACAAGTTGTGAATCCAAATGTTGTGACAGTGTAGTTAAAATGCCTGTTCCCTCTAGCAAGGGTGTCGGCAGATCAGTGTGCTGCCTGGACATCTCAGGGGCTCACTGTGTGGCCACGCATGCAGCGTGGTCTGTTTCCTGCACCCCATTCCTCCTCCATGGAGTTCCCAGGAGAGACACGGTGAGATCGGAAAGGCATTTCCCCTCCAGGTGAACTGGGAATGCAGGCAGCTCTCATGCCCAAAAAGGAGTAGCGTGATGATGGGGGCCCACGTGCCCAGCTGTCCTGGGCTGTCCCTGCCGATTGGCAACTGATACAGGGTGACTCAGGGAAGGTCTCAGAAGTGCTGATGGTCTAGCAGGCAGCCAAGGTACTGGGAGAGCAGGGTATCAGCATGGAAAGCCAGAAAATATCCTCCTTCTACTGCTATGAGGGCAAGGACAGAGTTGTAGGCAGTGAAGGAGGCACCAAGTGGTCCTGTTGGGCTTGTAAGGGTGCAATGATACTCACGTTACCTCCTTGTCATGGAGATCTTCACAATATGTAACTCAAGGTCTCTCTAGGTTTGATTAGAAACAGACACCCCAAACTTTGCACTGAAACTTTGAGGCCATCTCCAGTTACAGGAAGTCTGGGCATATCCATATGCAGATGTATGCAATTTGTTTCACTTCAGCAGTTAGCATGACTGTTTTGAGGTCAGGGAGCCTGTTCCTAGGGAAGGAGAGTTACTCCTCTGGATGCCCAGCCGAGGGTGGATGCACGCCATCCCCTCCCTATGCCGCCACCCGTGCTCCCTGCCTCCTGCCCTCCATCCCACTCTCGCTGCCCCTCTCACGGAGACAGCTCATCTCTGCCAGTGCCCACAGGGGCTGGAGGTAAAGGAGCCCATGTCTGCTGCAGCGCGGGAGCATGAAAGCAGCGTGGCTGAGCAGCCAAGGAGGGCTCTGGGCTGGTGGCAGGCAGGCAGGCATGGGGACACCTGCCACATGCGCCACGGGGATGGTCTCTTGCTCTTTGGGGCTGATGGCTTGTGGCAGAGATAACTAGCACTGCTGAAAGCCCTGGGCCAAGCTCCCAGCTGCAGTTTGAACTATGCAGTCAATGAAATTACATCAGACCCAGAGCTTTTCTCTGTGTGTGTGTGTTTGTGCAGACCCTTCCCCAGCTAGCTGAGCCGCTCGAGCAGATAAGAAACGGTAGAGGAGTTCCCAAGGAAAGGCCTCAGGTCTTGTGTTTGCTGCTACTAGAGTCACAGGGGACCTGGGAGTTAGGGAGGCAGCCAGCACAAAGGCACAGGGGAAAATGTACTGAGCTTCCTGACATCATAAATAATAAAAAAAAAGAAAGAAAGGAAAAATTTCCTGGAATACTTCTATTTATTTATTACTCCATCTCTACTGACTCTCATAGGTGGTAGTCAGTTGCCGCAGAGTTTCTGGAACTGTTTTATTATCATTAGTTTTGAAAATAATAAATATCATGGCTGTAGCATATGATTTACCTAGGCTGTGGGGCAGGGCACTGTCCAAGCACATTTTGGACGGGCCTGTCCACCTGCAGCCCCAAGGAGCGGCAGAGTAGCTCAGCCCGTCAGAGAGTGCAGGTGCAAAGAGGAGGCAGGAGGGCAGTCACTGGCCTGGACACTGTCCCCGGCACCCAGGGAGTATAAATTTTGACAAAATGTTCCTAAGGATCAAAGCGAAGAGAGTTGAGATCAACAACATTAGGCTTTGCTAAGCTTTACATGGAGCGCCTCAAAGGCCTGAGGGAACAGTATTAGAGAAAGCAATAAATCTGAAAATACAGTAGGGTGGTAGTGGCAGATAGCTCCTGTGTCTCCGGTGCCTTCATCCCAGCCCTGCCCTCGACTCCTCTGTACTAACTGGGCAATTTTTTTCTCAAATCCCTTTCACAGCTCATCCTCCCAAGCTTAAACCTGGGCCTTCCTTGCCCTCGTGCCTGAGGGCAGCAGCTACATTTCATCCTCCTGTTTTCATCCCAATCACCTCAATGCAGTCTTTCAGCTGCTAGAGTGAGAAAAGGGCAAGGATACGTACACCTTCTCACAAGCCTGCTCGCAGGCTTTTGGCTGTCAAGCTGTGACAGAGCTGTTCACAGACGGGCTAAACTATAAATATACAGTGAATTAGGTGGTAGGATGTTGTAACAAGGGATGAATGCTAGAAAAAATGGGGATTTCCAAAGACATGGGCTAAGATGCCTGATCTGGCATTAATGACCCTGGATATGACACTGCTGAGGGAAATCTCCCAGTGGGGATATCACTAGATGGTGGAGCTGTTTCCCAGAAAGACTGATCCAGGACTGAGAACATTTAAAAATCGGCTAATGTGAAATTTAAAAAAAAAAAGGTTAGCCAGTTGGCATGATCTTGGCTTGGTAAGGAGAGCACGGATAGGAAGTACTGCTGCACCCTTTCCTTCCCAGACCTTTCGGAGCTAAGTGTAGCAGCTCAAGGTTAAACCCTGCAGTAGGGCTACCATGGTTTTTGTCCAAATGTCCCAGCCAGAAATGTGGGCAGGTGTGACACCGGGCTGCACAGCACATGCCAGGCCGGCCAGCCGCTCACACAAATCCCTCTTTTTCTGGTCTGGGGACAGCCCGCTGCACAGAGCAGTGGCAGCAGGCAAGGGAGAGCTGTGGCCACTTGTCATCAGAGGCACTATGTGCCACTGGGTCCCCACCAGGATCATGCTGGCATGGCAGTGGTCTTGCTAATGATGGGGACACCACTGTTGCTGGAGGCAGGAGGTGGGCAGGAGAGGATGCTCCATCACAGCACCCTTTGCCTGTGCCTGAGGGCATGTACACCTGGTTTCACTCGTAGCTGCTGAGGGAACCAGTTCACTGCAGCGGTTGAAACGTCCACCTCCTGCTTTGCCGTACATCATGGCCCATTAGTTATTAATTGCTCAGGGCAGTCAGGTGGGAACAGCCTCCTGGGCTGCTGTCAGACTCCTCTCATTTCTCTCTGCCCCGCACACAGGCTGGGGCGTTTCTGTAGGTGTCTCACACCAGCCTTTTCTGTGGCACTAAGTGCCGTTCATAACCTCTTTGCCAAAAGCAGTGCAAGTCCTCGCAGAAGGCTGTGGGGGTGGCTGTGGGGGTGACTGTAGGGGTGTCAGTCAGGAACACCTCTGCTGACACACCACTGTTGCCTGGGGATGCACGAGCAGAAAACAGATCCCACTGAGCACCACGTGTGGCTGCTGTGTGCCCCTGGTTTTCTACCATGTGTTATTCAGTAGGGGCGCACAGATGGGCTGGTGACTGGGGACCATCCTCTGAGGCCTGCGTTTGGGTCTCTCTGTCCTCAGAGATCTCTCCTGTGGCCAGGACCAAGGAATGTAGTGCTCTGTGGGGTTCAGTCCCACTGTGGGTGGTGGGAGGGTGAAGGAGGGTCTCGCTGGGGTGGGTGCACATGAGTGTGCTGGGCTCGTGGAAGGGGACCGGGAGGAGCTGGTAGAGCTCACCCAACCTCCCCTTCCCTGGCTGTGCTGGCATCTGTGGACTGCAATCAGCCCCTCTGGCATAACAGCCACCTCCTCCCTTGAATACAGTCCGGCCAGGCACCCATGCCACCCCCGAGCTGAGCTCCAGCACCCTCTGAGGCCGAGGCCGGCAGCTGTCGTGTGTACACCCAGGGCAGCCCTCTGCCTCGCCTCGCCTCG